GGGAGGAAGAGGACGTGGTCGTGGTAACTTCAGAGGACGTGGAGGGGGTAGAGGAGGCTACCGTGGTCGTGGTTGGCGTGGTGGTAGAGGGTCTAGAGGAAGTAGCAGAGGAGGTCCACAGAAAGACTGGGTTGATTATCCATTGGATGCTGATACTTCAAAGTTGCAGCAAAATCTACCAAGTGGAACAACTGTATGTATCAACTTATACTAGTAAACATAATGCAACTCATTCTTATTACCGTATTTACCCATGTATAATCGTTCCCAAATCGGGGGTGCAGCTTATCTATGAGAAGACTTTTGAAAATGCCCCATTAAAACTAATTTACATATATTAGCATTCATGGTGCTACTTACTGCAGACAGGACATCAGTAATGTAATGCATTGTGTATTTTGAGCCAATTATGAACAGAGAGCATTTTCAATCGTTTTGTCTTGGAGTTGTTTTGGTAAAGTGATGCTAATTTGCATTGTTCATTTAAGCGACTTTGTCACACTTCAAGTGAAGAATCCACGGTAAATATTTTGAATACCCAAGAAATAAGTCTAAGAAATTGTTCCTTATGTTAAACAAATACAATCTGTTTTAATATTTTTTTGAAATACGAAACGGTTTTGGCATGATCCTTATGTTTAGAAGTTTGGCGGTAGGATGAGATTTATATCACTCAAGTTAATTACTAGTTTGCTTTTACCTTTTGAATGAGAAACAACTTTTTAAAGTATCAATTATCAATCTTAACAATTATGTCTCCAAGATCATCATACACTGCACGTTTAATAAACTGATTGTAATTGCATACGAAATGCATGGATCACGGAAATCGAGCAGTGGAATAGCACTTTAAAATCAAAGAAAGCTGTGTTCACAAGTGGCGATCAAAAAGAGAAAAGTTTATTTTCCGTCTTTTTTTCCTCAAAAACGTTCCTAAAACTCTGGATGTGGCTTATTTACGAGAGCRGCTTATACATGGGTAAATACGCTAAGACCGAAAGGGTACTTGGGAAGACAAACAATTTGGCTAATTTCRTACAAACAGCTCTCCAGCATAAAAGACTAGCATGCTGTTAATCTTACTAGCTCTACCTGCTTTACGGTACACCGTATATACAAATGTAATCCCAATTTAGTGGTACTCAAAATCCCTTTCGGTCTTAGCTTCAATGATGTGACCTTTTCGAACATGACTATGTTTTTTTATACAGTAAATTCCATTGACGCTGTTCACATATGCATATACCAAAATTTCAATTTCTTTGCCAAAATATTTAACATACAGCCCCAAATCTTCTTTGCAAAGTCAACAACATTTAATTCACTAATTATGTAAAGTTAAGAATTTTTTTTACATTTTTCCTTTCTTGTATATTTCAGGCATCTTCAAATCAAACTCCAGTCCAAGCTTAATCAGAACTTGTTGAATCAATCATTAATTGATAGACTGCCTGGGTAGTCTGAATACTTGTAATCTTTGCTAAAATATTTTCATATTTTGACGTTGAAGAGCAAAGAAAGCTGTTTGGAATAGTGAATGTATATTTTTTTCGGGACGGACTGTTTTTGTAGGGTAAATATCCAGTCACTACCTACTGAATAATTTATTAAATGACCTCATGGGGCATAATTGCTGGTATTCCAGTAGTTGCTAATCATTTACAGTGTATAGACTATTTAAATAGGCACTGCATATATTAAGAATATTGTTACAGAAACAAAAAAATCAAAGTTATTCGTATTTCTGTTCTATATTATTGCTAATTCTCATTTTGATTATCTAAATAAAGAATTATAGCCAAAATAACTGTGTATTTAACTACAAAAAAGGGCTTTGTGGAGAAGAGTTTAATAGTGTGTATTCAAG